ACTCTTTCTGCCTAATCTCTCTGAGCGTACGTAACTTGCTAGCACACCTTTATGAGACAGTCTGAGACAGAGGGGTCAGGATTTAAAGACATAAGAGGCAAAACCGAGATCCCCAGGAACTGGAACTGGCATGCAGGAATCTCCATGTCTCCAATTCTGAGCACGAGAACAGTTTGGAGATGAGAGTTCAGTTACAGGTGAGGGATTCAGGTGTCCAACCCTCAGCTTCTGTTCTTTAAAGACCCTTCACACAGACAGCTTCCCTGTTGCTGTTTAGACCCACTTCCTATAAGCTGAGGCAGGTTAGACAAAGCCGTTATCTCCAACAGCAACATCCACCGTATTTCTAGAGTTGAAAAGACATTTGAAAATCAGACAACTCTCACAGTTTTTAAGCTACATCTTTGTTCATCTGGCAGTGCACTTTTCCCACGGAACACAGGGAGAAAGGTTAGAGCTCAAACCCACCAAATCCCTACAGAAGCCGTAAGTACCTCGCTACATGTAAATGCAGCCGGTGAGAGCTGTGGAGGCCGCTCCTTGGTTTGGAACCAGGGCAGTTAAACACCCCAGCAGGGGGCAAATCACCTTACGTTCAGGTAACAAGTCCAAGAGCTTACCAGCACCCGAATGTCGAATCTCTGTTCTTGAGGTAGGAACTTGGGAACCTGCAGCACACAGTTCATAGCTGTGCCTATCAGACCGTCCTGTTCACCTGTCTTTGTACTACCCCATTCTGCAAGCACAAAGAGGTTAGAGGCTCAATTTTGGAAACACTCGTTGTCATATCCGTAGGCAGATGGATAACAACCTTTTGGCCGTAACGACAAAGGGGACTCTCCCAGCCAAAGCACCCAATTAACGTGTAACACATGCAACCCAGCCTGCAGAGCCCAGTTACTAATTACTGCACAGCAAGCAGCTACCCTACGGGACTGTGCCCTCGCACTGCGCTGGGAGAAAACCAGCGGCGGCGGGAGAACGGGGTTTACGTTCACACGGTGCCGGACGCTTTTACACACAGTACGTGGAATTGTGTTTTACCGTTATCATTTGTTAGGTTGAGCAAGACACCGATGATGGCCCGCATACAGTCTTCCACTGCTTTACCCACATGGTTCGTTACATTCTGGTGAGGCAGAGGCTTATTGTCCGGTAAACAGAGGCTGTCTTCAGCACGGTTGTATCGCTGGATTAGCTCCTCGCAATGCTGCAGGGCTCTGCGGGGAGAAGATGCAGAACAAAGTTACCTCCACAGCAGACAGGACATTCTACCCTTATGCTCACGTCACCAGGAAAAGAACCCCTCAAATACAGAGCTTATGCAGAATTTCTGTGATGCCCAGTCTGCAGGGAGAGATAATAAACTCAGCACCCATAAAATTTTTTATGAGTTCAGCTGAAATTGTGAACACAAAAGCCAGGAAAGCTTCGTGGCTCAGAGCTTTATCAGCTTGAGAGTTCGAGAGCAGAAGTTCATTTTTTCTTCCCAACTGCGTCGTGTGGTCCTACAAAGGAGAGCTCCTCTCCCTACAAAGCCAGCCCCTCGTACCCTCTGACCATCGGGGCACCACATGAGTCTGACAGCGTTACCTAAATGTCCTCCTGTTCCATCCTCAGAGCTATTTCCATGCTGAAAACACACAAATGACACGTGACTTCCTCGCAGCAGAACCTTAGTCTCGGAACACTACTGGACCACAGGCATGATGCGACTGCGTGATGTTAGTTCAAGGTTAAACCAACAACACTGATTTCAGTTGCAAACCAAACTAAAAATGTCGAAACACACATTGGTCTAAACAGCACAGTGAACTCTGGTTTGGGGTTGGTTGGTTGGTGGGTTTCTTCAGCTTAAAGGAATGCTCGAAATATCTAACCTACAACCATGAAATTATCTTTCCAATGAGGTCTGCAGAACCAAATTTTCAGCTTAATTTGTTCTCTTACAAAGAGCAGCCCGAGAGGGATGCAATCTCTGCCAGTCAGCCGAGACCTCACCCAGATCGGTAAGTGGGTTAGAGGTGTCTGTACAAGCATCTTCACCAGGAGAACGGCAAAGAACAGAATCTCACTACTCTAATGCTTAGGGACGCTGTCAATTCCGTTACGCCTCATTTCAGTTAACACCTAGGCATAATGAAAACACGACGAATAAATCAGAGCAGCTTCCCAACTGCCCTCTTCTGTGCTCGGACTAATCTGGGGCAGGAGGAGCTGAACCCGCAGTTTGCAGCTCCTACGGAACCAAGAGCAGCAGCACTACACTCAGGTAGTTACCCACACCCTCCTCTAAGGCAGCTGCAGCGTTACTTAATGACAAGCATCAGTGGCAAGTATGGGGTTCCACCCCTCCCCAGAGTCTGCTGGTATCCCAAATTTATTTTTCACCCTACTGTGAAAGGCAGCACTCGGCAAAAATGTCTTTTTGTTACGACTTACTTAGCTGAAGAGACTATGAGCTGCGAGTCTTTGTATGCTATCAGATAGCTCTGATTTTCTGGATTATGCACCGTGACCTAAAAAGGGGAGGAGAAAGTAACATTAAAAATGGGACTTTTTTTCCTTGAAAGACAAGTACTTCCTTCCACTACCACCCCACTTAGTTCAGTTCCACATTTCTTGGTTATTATCCAGTGTAAACCTTCACTTATCACTGTCCAGTATCTCCTTGGGAGTTTTCACCTTTTAATTAGTGACACAGAACTGTGCACTGAAGAGAAAACCATCGTCCCTGATACACGAAGTACAGAAACCCTGTGGCAGAACGCTCTGCCACAGCACAGTCCCGAATCTACATCCCGGCACTGCAGTGTCCCGAGCCTGTATGTACAGAGGTGTATGTTAACAGGCACACAAACACGACACAGAACACCACTACAGACGTGGTGTCACTTTCAGGACTCAACACCAACTCCACTCCCAAGAGCTTATGATGCATCCAACCGTAAAGTTTTGCCTTGATTTCCTTGAGGGAAATTCAGAATCAATGTTCAGAAACGCTAAGAGCTCTTAAACTTCCACGATTCGCTGTGTTGACTTGTGTCGTCTCTCCCAAGTTCCTAGAGGCCTTACTACACCAGAAACCACCCTCAAGTTCAGATTTGACTATTTTACCACTAAACAAGGCTCTTCTACTGACGCTTGGCAATTCCACACAGCAAATAATAAAGAAGAAATCGGATCTGAAAGCTGTTCTCTCTGTTCAGAGGGCAGGTAAAGAGCCAGGCGCCATTCGTTTCTGAGCAGGCACCCGTGCGTTAGTACTTCAGCAACTGTCCATCTTCCTCAGTCCCGGCTTACTTTCACATTGTCCTTGAGCCTGCCCCTCCAACTTTAGAGAGGAAGAGTTACCACTGCAGCTATCTGCCCTCTGACCAGGGTTTCAGATGTTCGTTCCGATTCATGGACCCACCCCCGAACCCGAAGGTCGCTTTCTGGCGCGTGGAGGCACACTGCTAGGACATCGAACGCCCTTCTGCCGGCGTACGGTACCACAACGCAGGAAGAGTAACGCCAGTAACAAATACACAGCGCAGCGAAGCAAGGCCTTGTAGGGAAGCATATGCTCACAACTGAGGCCTACAGAAGTACCATGCACCCTGCTTCTCCTCAAAGTCCTCATTAGAAATATGTCCCGTCTCAATCTACGTGCTCAACTGGTTGCAGGACTACTCCGACTTCCGGGGCAGTTTTCTCCTGCAGTGCTCAGCCAGCTGACGTTTGCGAGTAGCCATTCCTAACATACACACCTATTCATTGCTTCTAAGGAATTACTGCTTCTACAGCGCTCTGCTATTTCCAGAGTAGGGGAGTCAAAGTCACACTCAGAAACAACATCCACAAACAGCTTCTGTTGAACTTAAGAAACAGCTACATTCTGTTATTCTTACCAAAAATAAACTTGCACTGTTGTACATACATACAGCACGGAGAAAGACATTTTCAAACAAACATTCCAGGAAGGCTGATAAACATGAGCAAGTTAGTAACTTCTATAAAAACAATCAACATTACAGTGTTACTTTGTAACTACTTACTGAGACAATGTAACACTGAAAAGGTCTGGTTGAGAAAAAGCCATTTTCAGAACTGCATCTGCTCATACTCACGCTTTCTAAGACCCGTAAACATCTTTCAGCACCCCATAACGAAGCAACGAGTTTCTCCTCGTTTTCATCGCTGCTCAGGTGATCCACACATTCTTTAACTAAACAACAAAAAGAAGATGTTTCCACTGTCAGTAAGAGGTCTTCAAAAGCCCGGTGTACAAACTAACCAGCTACTCAGGGTTGCTGTCCACCTTGTTTTACACCTCACAGAACTGTAATACCAGGAAACAATCACAAGGACATGATCAGCACTACAAAACTTCTCATTTCTCCAAGTAAATGAAAGCCACCCTTGCGATTCTGGCTTGACAAGTCTGTGACTGTCGCCACGCGTCACCTACCTGCGCATGTTGTTTTCTACTGACGACGAAGAGATGGTACAGCACACAGCTGTGGCCCCTAACTGCAATGCACTGGTTTGTAGGAGGGAAAAAAA